TATATTTTATAATTATGAATTCTTAATATTTTGACACTTGACTTTTATACAGATTTTTTAATCATCTGCTGAAGATTTCACCTCATTATGTTCCCATTATTGTCCTTGTTCAACATATATACTTGAATATTTTTATTGACAAGTATACATTTGCACATTTGCTCCATCAAGGGCAGTTGTGGGTATTTGCTATATGTTTGGAAGTAAGAATACATTTGATAGCATCTTAAATGCACTTTTTAAAAAACTTATCACTAGTAGTAGATTTAGATATTTAATGTAACAAATGTTCTTTAGATTTAATCTTATTCCTTTTCTAGCAATTAGTTTTTATTTTCTAGTTAGTATTTTGTTTTAGTGTATTTTTTAGTTGTAGAGTTTGCATATTTTTATTTATTTAAATTACACATTTAAAATTAATGAAGGTTTTAATATTATTTGGCTTTATTCCAGTCATCTTTTTATTACTGTACTGTATATCTTACTAGTACTGTCATGGCCAGCACATTAATGTTATTACCACAAGTGTTTTCGTAGACCTAGGAACAAAGAGCAATAAAAGTAGGCACATTTCTTTTGTTCAAAAATTCCTGTGTATGACTCTGGCCAAGTTTTCTGTCATTTCAGAGACTCTGTATATTTTCTATCATGTATGTGAATACATGATAGAAAATATAGTCTCTGAAAGTAGTGCTTGTGATTATTTCTATGGACTAAGAGTATTCAACTGGTCTTCTTGACATAATTATTTATTAGAAATAAGTTTAATTATTAGCTAGAAGAAAAAAGAATATCAGCTGACATGTCAGTGATTGATTGAATTTTTGTGATGCATAAACTAAATTTTTTGAGAATGAATGGAGTTTGTAAGCATTTTAATCTTCTCCAAGTGAACTCTTTAGTTTTCATTGTAAAAAGTTTATTGAAAAATAGAAAAAAATTGTATATGCATTAATTTTGTTTTCTGGAAATGCAAAATGTATCATTTGCAGAAAATAAGAATTCAAATACAGTAAGACCCCACTTAATGCTGCCTTGCTTAATGCTGATTTGATATAACACCATCTGCTTGAAGCCTAAAAAAAAGCTCAAAATTTACTGATTTAAATTATTGCGGAATTTTATAGCTTCATACATAATACGATTATTTATGAACATGAACCAATCAGAAAAAAGTGGCAAAAAGGTGTAATTTCTTTAAATCTATTCTTTTGTTTGGTGCAATTTTGGAAAAAATATAACATCATGGATGCCATAGGCAATATTGGCTTCGCTTGGCAAGAATTAACTGATAAATGCACAAACTAAAGTTATGCACGAAAAAATTTCTCTACAGATTTTCTTAGTAAAAGTTTAGTACAGTAGAACCCCTCTAGTCTGCCCTCGGCTAGTCCGTCACTCCGGTTAATCTGACCGTGGTCGGAGTCCAGAAACTTGTCCCGACTCATCGGTGACTCACNTACCTTCATCCCCAATTAGTCCGGATAATCGAGGTTCTACTGTATTGTCAATAAATCTTTTATTATAAACTGTCACTTAAATTTTGACATTTATCACTGTTTTGAATTTTAAAATACTTTTATGCATGCTTAGATTGATTTTACAACATGCATTTTTATATAAATCTGTAAAATATGCTGATAATACATAAATATTTACAAAACTTATCTATATGATTTTTAAATATTGAATTCTTGTTGAACCAATAATCAGAAACAAAAAAGTGTTTTGTTTCTGATTTGAAACAAATTGAAACAAATTGTATTTCAATAATATGTATTTCTCGACAACAAAAATTGTTGTCGAGAAATACATATTGAAAAAACAAACATTTTCAGCCCTATTAACAGGCTATCTTCAGATCGAAAATGAAATTGGAGTGAATCTGTTCCATGAATAGAATACAAAAATTTAAATCAAAAATTTTTTACAAGAGAATAACAACAATGGAAGAATATATAAAAATACAAAAATAGATAAAACTAAGATAAAACAAAGCAAAAAATAACATAAATCTTCAAATATAATTAACTTTGGTCTGAATTCCTAGTAAATTTCTTAACCATGAATTTCCATGCTGATGGCAGGCTTTCAGCATCTTTCGTTTAAACAGCCTTCTCGTAGCCTATTTCTATATATTTCAATCTTCTCCGCCATCATTACTAAAGTTGGGGAAGACAGAGGTTTGATAATGGTTGCCTCGTCCCACCTCACCACAGAGCCTTGGGCCTGCGCCATTTGGGACAAAATCGTTGCATTAGACCCTTTTCTTATGGTATATCTATGCTTCTTGAGCCTTATGCCCAAGTTCCTGGTGATGATGCCAATATCGTCTTTTTTTAACATCCAGTTGCAGGTTTTTATAAGGAATTTTACACACCTCTGCTTTCTCCTCTCCTTTGATACTATCCTTATCATTTCTCAAGATCCTATACAAATTCAGGACTTCTTAAAACCATTCTTGATTCCTTTCTTCCAGCAACTTCTTTCATAATACTGTTCATACTGCTATTATAAGTAAATTTCGTGAGCCTAGTAGGAATATTACTTAAGGTTCTTTTTTCTATGATCATTTCATACTTCCTAACCATTCCTACAATTGCACTTTTTTGTAACCCAGGGTCTGAGCCATCTGCAGTATTCTATCCACTTCTTTAGTTCTGTCTCTGACTCTGTCACAATATAAATAAGCCCTTCTTATTAAAGCTTGGAATTCCGCCATCTTATACGATATGGATCCATGGACTGGGAGGGTATATACAGTGGGTAGGTTTATGACTAATTTATTTGACTAATTTGTAATAATGGCTAATTTATTTGACAATGTTTATGAATATAATAATACAGATGGTAGATCAATAAAGTTGCTATAATTATATACAATATTTATTTAAATTTTTTCTGTTGGAAAAATATATTTAAATGATGATTAATACTTTTAATTTATACTAATAATTTATAAAGGCTTTTAATACTTTATGAAAACTGAAGTGCTGTGAATAAGAAAAAATATTTAGAAATTTTAAATAAAATATATGGTTTTTATATAAGTATGCATTTCAGCTATTGTAAATGAGAGAGAAAAATCAGAAGCATGATGATTAACTTGTTTAAATTATTGAAAAGATTATTTCAAACTTATATTCATTTTACATAATTAATTTTATACGTTTTTATTTTATTTTATAAATACAAATCTCTGTATGGTTTCTATCTTTGGGTTTCATTTAATACAGGTTGAACTTTCCTTAGAACAGATATTGTCAGTTCAACAGATCCCAGTGCCGATAGTGCTTAATTAACTGATTTCTTCTAACTTCTGCATCATATAAAGAAACTAGTAAAGCTTAGTTTTCCTATTGAAGTGATCTTATTTGGATACTTTAATTTTTGTTTAGTATAACTTTTATAAATATTTGTCTTAATTCTTCAGTTTTACAGGAAACTCTATGAAAAAGAAATGCAACAATTGTGTAAGTGATGTGATATGCGTGAAATTTTTTCTTTTTTAGTGGTTAGTCTAAATTCTCTGTTTTCCATAATTTTCACTTTTGTATGCAACTATTTTTCCAAAATCTTTAATTAATTAATGGATTAATTCTTCAATAAACATTTCTTCATTTTCCATGTTTTTACTTTATCCAAGTGAATATAAATGTAAAAATCATAATTTCAGTTGAATTCTTAATAACCTAATTAGTGAATTATTTCCAATTGATTGTTAATGTTGATGTGTGTGGTTTTGATACAATGTAAATTTATTAAAATTCTCATAAGAAATATAGTATTTTATCAATAAATTTAAATTTTTATTATTACTGTGCTGTTATGATTTTATTGACATCTTTTAAAAGCTATATTATTTTGAGGTTATTATTCTATGTATTATTCTGAGGTTACAGTTTATTTATATTTTACAATACTATTTCTTAAAGTTTTATTTCCTAATCTTGGAAATTTATTATGAATTTTTCAAACAGTTAGAAAAGTATTAACACTCAAAGTAGTTTTTAATTCATCTTAGGAATATCTTAAAAATGTATTTATATTGATTTCAGAAGATAGTTTTCAAAAGAATATCCATCAAACTTTGTATCTGTTTTTATTTTATCATATTGAAAGTGGATTTATGAGTTTGATGATTTTATCATATCTAACTTATATTTATAAATTTGATAAATGTAATGATAAGTTACTATATTTAAATGTCAAGTAAACATATTATTTTTTAACAAAGTTAATAATAAAAGTTGAGAATAATTTGGAAAGAAAAATTATTGATTTAAATAAATTGAATTAAAATGAATCCTCAAGAACCAAGATTTGTTAATATAATTATTTTAAATCGTAAAAAAATATTTTGTAAATAATTAATTCATATGTAGCCTATCACTAAAAGAGATAGCACAAACATTTAGTATTGATAAATTATTTATCACTTATTATGAAGTACCAAAATTATAAATATGAGCATTGTGAGAACAGTTCTCAAGTTCATGAAAATTTATTATTGAATAAATATTTCTACTTGATAATATAAATTTAGTATCAGCTGTCTGGTGTTTGACACTGGTTGGTGGATTTATATTTCATCATAGTTTAGTTTAGCTATTAAACAAGATCCTCTTGTAATTATTTTGTTTCATTACTACTTTAAGAAATAAATTAGATGTAAGTAAATTTATTTTTACAAACTGCATGCTTTTGTTTTCAAATTTCCAAGTTAATATTTCAAAAATTAAAAAATTTTAATATTTTTTTTATGTGAGATTATAAAGCATTAATTTTGGATTCCTCTTTTATGTAAAGCTTTATAAATTAGTGTTTATAATTGAAACTACAGAAGAAAAATCCTATTCACTTCAAGTTATATAGATTATGAAAGGATTTCTTCAGTTATCAACAGTTTGAAATAAGATTTTAAATGGAATTTAAAATCTTATTTTTTTTTATGGAAGAATTTTTTAAATAATCAATTTTATCAAATCTTGGACTTAATAAAATTGATTTAATAATAGCTTAATGATTGATATTAGTTTTTATTTTTTAGTAAACAAATATCTGATAAAAGTAAATTACATGATAAAATCAAATTTATTGAAAAAAGGATATTTACTTGTATTTGTAAGACAAAACAATTTTAATTACTTTATTTGCATTTTCTTTTCTCATGAAGCTATGTTTTTTTAAGTTTTCTTGTACCAAATGATTCATATGCCTAAAATAATGGAAGATTTAGAAACTGAAGTGTTTCAACAAGGTAGATGGTTAAAACTGAAATAATTTTAAACAGCAGATTGTTAAATTTTTGGTTTAAACACATTTGCTGTTTTTATTATAAAATATATTCAAAACTATTGAGAAATTGAGAACTATTCTATTATGAACTATATAAAACTAAGTGCAATTTCTTTCAACTGCAGTAAATCTCTTATTAGTTTTAGCACTAATGTTAAATACATAGACATAAAAAGCTAATTTCTTAGAGCAGTGGTTCTTAATGGAGTTATGGAGCATTTTGGGAGTTGAATGTCACATAAAAAATTTTATATTTGCACTTATCCATCTGTGATTAGTGGATTATATAAACATTTAGTAGCAATTTTATTTGTAAGCAGAGACAAAACTTTTCCAAAATATAGTTGTGCTGATATTAAACAAATACAATGAGAAAAATATAGAATAAATTATTATTTTGTCGTGCCAGATTTTATCAAATAAAAGTTTATGATCACTGTCTTTTGGCATTAATGAAGTTTTGATGAGTTATACAAAATGTTTGTTTAAATTAGCAATTTTGTTTAAATTTTATAAAGTAGATTGATAATCAATTTACTTTATATAATTAGTTTAATAAACTGAGTTGATAAGTGGCACAACAATGTATATAACGCGTGTTTATATAAATATCTAAACTTATTTACATTTACATTGCTTAATTATGTTTAAATATATTTTATAAATGTTTCGTCAAATAATTTTTGTAAAGATTATTAAAAGTAAACAGTATTTTTGTGTGTGTCTTTTTTACTTCAGATCAAAATGGCAAGTAAAATATTAGATGATGCTGTGAAGGATATACCTAATCCATTTCTTCATAGAGTGAATTTTTCTAAATTTGAAAAAATTAAGGTAAGTAGAATGCAATTCCTTTTATTTTGTTTATAGATACACAAAACAGTTTTGTTTGTTATAATTCTTTAATGTAATTAAAGTCTAGAATGATATTACTTTTAATCTGGATTTTTAATTGCATTAAAGCATTTTCAAACTATATTGCAAAAATTTGCAATATATTTTACAATTATATATATATATATTGTTACCATGAAAGACTGAAATTAGAGAATGTCAATATACTCTGGAGAATGTTGACACATACCAAATATTAATATGTTGGTGAAAGTCCAAATACTTGGTTATATTATTATACATTTAAACTCATGACAGCATTTTTTAAATTGTTCATTCATCTTTGCTTTCTTTTCCCTTTTTCTTATGATTCACATCAACTATTACATCCCTGCAAAGGAATGTAATAGTTGATATGATTCTCAATGTAGACAGACATAAGAAGGAAGCCAAAGATGAATGAGAGGAATTTTAAAAAATCATCACAAATTTGCAATGGTAATTATTAGATTGTTTAATTTAAGAATTCAGGATTAACAGACTAAAATTTAAAACGACCTGAATAGCTGATGGGAAATGAGAGATTGGAATTGTCAAAAATGTTATACATGTACATTGAAGCTGGGGGCAAATTCTCTGGCTTGCTTAGCATGCGACACATGCTTAAGAGAAAGTTTTGACTGTCAATATATTTTTTATATGAGAACAAATATGCCAATAGTAATTTATTCTAACGTGTAAACTTGTTTATCATTTGTGTTTGCTTTTTCATTGACAGCTAGTGGCTAACCATTTTAAGTCAGTGCCATGCTTGCAGGAACTTGATCACTTGCTTGTATAGAGGTTTGCCACAGCAATCAAGTGCATTCGCATGATGACATTTGAAGCATTTAACACATCCAGATTGTATCAAAAGCTTGCGGTACCCAGTCAGTATACATGTATTATGTAGAGGGGCAGATCTATATAGAGATTAATAGGACTTAAGCCCTGGGCCCCCAGTGTCAAGGGCTCACAAAATCTGAATTATCATCATAAATTTTTAATACTTTCTCATTATAATATATTTCATATATTTCATTTGTAAATATAATAGGTTTTATAGTAGTCCATACTTTCTTATTCACACCAAATAGCATTTCTGTCTGTTGTTTAGTGCTAGAGATAGGTCTATTACAGTAGACCCCCCCTATAACACTGTTGATAATTCCATGTTATATGAATTCCATGTTGTACAAGTTACTTAAATTTCACAAATATGTGTGCCGGGCTGTGAACGGCTCGCATATTTGTAAAATCAACTGTATTCTTATTATAACTTTCATCATGCCCAAAAATTTTGGCCAGGATTCGCTCCTTATTGAAGCAATTTATATACAGTAGACTCCCTATAAAACGGGTTCATATAATGCGGATTCGTATATTGAGGCCAAAAAATTGCGACTGTATTCGTATAAAGACGCTAAAAGAGACTTGTAAAATGCGGTAAAACGTCATTGCCAACTCGTGTCGCGACAGGATTGGTCAAATCTAGACTAATAGCGGACATGCACAAACCATTGAGTTTAAACGAGCAGCAGACCTACTAAAAACCATTTATTATTTAACGGCCATAAAAAGTATATTTATATTAATGATGTCTCCAAAGTTCAGCAAATTTTTCGCAGAAAAATAATTTATCAGAAAACATTCACCTGTCGTTTGATGCGCTGCTCCAAGATGAAAACAAGCTTAAACAATGACTCCGCCGAACGGTACACACTCGGTAAGTAATCCTACAATTTTTTGTTTATAGCATAGTTTATATGGATTATTCCCAAAAAATTATACGTATTTTGGAAATGTTGAGTCGAATTAGTCTAGAATCGATTAATTTTATGGAAGAAAACCTTTCAAACAGCCGTAGTCCATATAGTACATACGTGCCGGTTTGTGATTGGCTCATGTATTTAAGGACTCGTAGAACATGAATTTCTTAAAAAGCGGAAAGTATCTACTGCGTTATAGGGGGGTTTACTGTAGTTTAATTTTTTTCATACTGAAGAAATGCATCTAAGAAGAAAAGAAAATTTTTCAAAAGTATGCATTTTGAAAAATTGTCTTTTGTTAGCTTGTGAGTGAAGTGTCAAATAATAGAATACAGATTTGGTAAATAAACTTTTCTCTAGTAAGACATGTATTGTTAAAGTTTCAGATTTATTGGAAACACACACACTTTGAAGTTTATAAGGATATAAACCTGAGAATGTCTTATCAAATAAATGAAAAATGTTTGATACCTAAAATAACAGCCATATAACCTTTTCAATCAGCAAATAAGCACTTAATGCAACTAAAACAAATAAAATAAAATGATTGTTTTCTGTAATACGCTTCTTGTCTAGTCTTGTGTTCAATTTTACTAGCTCTGACAGTTTTTCCTTTTTTGCTAGACTTATTACACCAGTCAGAAGACAAACTTTAGAAAATCATATCTTTATTTCCCTGAGTATGCATTTTGGACATTAAGTTCCTTTTCAACTCCATGTGATATAAATGAAAAGGGTCTTAATGTCTGAAATGCATACTAAGGGAAATTAAGATATGATTTTCTAAAGTTTGTCCTCTTTCTGTCTGATGTAATAAGTCTAGCGAAAAAGGAAAAGCCGTCATAGAGCTAGTATAATTGATTTGTTTTGTTTGATACTTAAATATTTTCTGGAAACACAGAAGAATTTGTAATAATTAACATATGTTTTAAATAAATTTTATCATTTGTAGATATGGATAATGACATTCACAATATTTCCCATTCGTTTTATCATTATGATTATTCTTCTAATGACTGCATGGCTTTTGACATCAATTGGTTTTATTGGTTTATCAGAAAAAGAATTTCAAGAGAAACCTATGTCTGGTTGGAGAAAGTGAGTTACTTAATATTATAGAATCTTGTTTTATATTTATAGTGTATAATTCTAATTGGGATGAATTAATTTAAAATTTCAATTTTTTGAGTAAATGAAGATTTTTAAAATATGAATATAAATGTATATTGATACATTTATACACTTTTTATTTTTCTTTTAATTTTTAAAAGTAATTTTAAAATTTTAATTATATTATCATCATTTTATTTTTTTAATGTTAATAATTAGAAAATTTTGTTGTAATTTAATATACTTCAGAGCTCAACAAATATAAAATGTACATTACTTTAACTATTAATTTTCTAGAAAATTATGTATGATTCTTTAATTTATAAATTTATTTGGCTTTTACCATAATAGCATTTAAACATTTAATGCATTAAAAATTATTTAAAGTTTGTTGAACTCTGGCTTAATATATTTTATAATTATGAATTCTTAATATTTTGACACTTGACTTTTATACAGATTTTTTAATCATCTGCTGAAGATTTCACCTCATTATGTTCCCATTATTGTCCTTGTTCAACATATATACTTGAATATTTTTATTGACAAGTATACATTTGCACATTTGCTCCATCAAGGGCAGTTGTGGGTATTTGCTATATGTTTGGAAGTAAGAATACATTTGATAGCATCTTAAATGCACTTTTTAAAAAACTTATCACTAGTAGTAGATTTAGATATTTAATGTAACAAATGTTCTTTAGATTTAATCTTATTCCTTTTCTAGCAATTAGTTTTTATTTTCTAGTTAGTATTTTGTTTTAGTGTATTTTTTAGTTGTAGAGTTTGCATATTTTTATTTATTTAAATTACACATTTAAAATTAATGAAGGTTTTAATATTATTTGGCTTTATTCCAGTCATCTTTTTATTACTGTACTGTATATCTTACTAGTACTGTCATGGCCAGCACATTAATGTTATTACCACAAGTGTTTTCGTAGACCTAGGAACAAAGAGCAATAAAAGTAGGCACATTTCTTTTGTTCAAAAATTCCTGTGTATGACTCTGGCCAAGTTTTCTGTCATTTCAGAGACTCTGTATATTTTCTATCATGTATGTGAATACATGATAGAAAATATAGTCTCTGAAAGTAGTGCTTGTGATTATTTCTATGGACTAAGAGTATTCAACTGGTCTTCTTGACATAATTATTTATTAGAAATAAGTTTAATTATTAGCTAGAAGAAAAAAGAATATCAGCTGACATGTCAGTGATTGATTGAATTTTTGTGATGCATAAACTAAATTTTTTGAGAATGAATGGAGTTTGTAAGCATTTTAATCTTCTCCAAGTGAACTCTTTAGTTTTCATTGTAAAAAGTTTATTGAAAAATAGAAAAAAATTGTATATGCATTAATTTTGTTTTCTGGAAATGCAAAATGTATCATTTGCAGAAAATAAGAATTCAAATACAGTAAGACCCCACTTAATGCTGCCTTGCTTAATGCTGATTTGATATAACACCATCTGCTTGAAGCCTAAAAAAAAGCTCAAAATTTACTGATTTAAATTATTGCGGAATTTTATAGCTTCATACATAATACGATTATTTATGAACATGAACCAATCAGAAAAAAGTGGCAAAAAGGTGTAATTTCTTTAAATCTATTCTTTTGTTTGGTGCAATTTTGGAAAAAATATAACATCATGGATGCCATAGGCAATATTGGCTTCGCTTGGCAAGAATTAACTGATAAATGCACAAACTAAAGTTATGCACGAAAAAATTTCTCTACAGATTTTCTTAGTAAAAGTTTAGTACAGTAGAACCCCTCTAGTCTGCCCTCGGCTAGTCCGTCACTCCGGTTAATCTGACCGTGGTCGGAGTCCAGAAACTTGTCCCGACTCATCGGTGACTCACTGTCCGTGGCGTTTTTCTGTGTTCGTTACAGTACATGTTTTACATTGTGTGTACATGTACAGTTTTGTGTGTGTTTTCAACATGTCAGGAGTGAAACGTAACCACGTTACTCTTTCATTAAATGAAAAATTAGCAGTGCTACAAAGACTGGACAAAGGGGAAGATTGTTTATTTTACTTTTTTCTGATAATTTGACCTTTTTTGCGTTCCGACCATACCCCCAGTCCCAAAGGTGACGGATTAGAGGGGTTCTACTGTAATGATAACTGAAATCATTGATTAAATTGTAGTGAATGATCAAGATTTTGAAAGGAGTGCAAAAGCAAAATGAGGCATTTTGGATGCAATCTTCTGCTACCAACATTTGCTTAAGGAAAGAAAAAAGCGACAAATGAAACTTCACCACTTTATTGCAAAAAAGCAAGAATTTCACAAAAGTCAGGACCTTTGTCACAAAAAATGAACTATTAATATAGAAAAAATGAACTAATTAATATATTATTATACATTTCTGTGTGCATATGTTTGTGTTATTTAACATATATTATTATACAAATTAATACAAAAATAACTTAAAGTAAAATTTTTCTATTTTTGGTCGTGTTTTCCCTATCCCTATTTACTCTATGTTAAAATGACCTCTTTTAACACTGTTTTGTTTAGCGCTTTATCGACTAGGAACGCATCCCCCGTGTTAAGCAGGGTCTTACTGTATCATCAGCTATTAATGCTACATTTATCAGTCTTAACAGTTCTAATCGAACAGATCCATAGTAGTGATAACTGCTAAAGTTAATTTCATAATTATAACATTGCCAAAAAATTATAAATTTGGATAATGTGATACTATATTGCTATTTACACATGAATATTGGATTTAATTGTTAAATGAATTGCTTTATTTCATTTAAATTAACAAATATATAAATTTTACTACAAAAAAGATAAATTTGCTGTTTTTCATATAACATCAAATAAATATATTTTAATATTGTGTCATGATCTCTTTTACAATAACTTCTGCAGTCTTATTGGGCATGCTCATAACAAGATTTTGAATGGTATCATGATTACACTTTCATATGCTTCAATAACGGTAACTTTCAGCTTGTTGACTGTCAAGAATTGGTGATTGTGTATAAACGTAGCTAACTATAGTTGCCCACAAATTTCCAATTATGTTTTGGTCAAGTGAGCAGGAAGGCCACTCAAGCATTTCAATGTTTTTAGCTGTCAACCACGTCATTATCATGGATTGCAGCATTATCCTGCTGGAAAACTGTTTCTTGCACTGATTTTGATGAAGGAATGGTAAAAGACTCAGATGATCTGGATGCAATGGCTCTTTATTTTCTTTGAAGTAAATTTGGCACTTTTTTAGTATTATGCTAAATGAGAAATTATATATATCTATCTGAAAGTAGCATAAATGTAGTCTGCTAGTAAACATCAATAAACTCATGTTTCAAAGCAGTGCATCTAGAGCACGGATGTCCAACCTGCAGCCCACTGCACCCTAAATTTTTTAGGTACATTTTCATTTATTTTGGTATAGTATGTCGTAAAAATTATTCTCGCTTCACTTTAATGTCGTAATGATGTACAGAAGACCCCCCCCTATAACGCTTAGATACGTTCCACTTTATAAGAATTTTACGTTGTAGGAATCCTTAAATACATGAGCCAATCACAGCCCGACACGTGTGAAGTTTACGGACTAAGGCTGTTTGAAAGGTTTTCTTCTATAAAATTAACCGATTCTAGACTAATTTGACTCAACATTTCCAAAACACGTATAATTTTTTGGGAATAATCCGTATAAACTATGCTATAAACAAAAAAATGTAGGATTACTTACCGAATGTGCACTGTTCGACTACACCGTTGCTTACGCTTGTTTTCGTCGCAGAGCAGCGCACCAAACGGCGGCCGCGTTTTCTGATAAATTATTTCTCTGCGAAAAATTTGCTGAACTTTGAAGACATCATTAATAGAAATAATTTTTATGGCCGTTGAATAAGAAATGTTTCTTTCACAAGAAATGTATAAAATTAGTGCTGTATTAGANAAACAGTATTTTTGTGTGTGTCTTTTTTACTTCAGATCAAAATGGCAAGTAAAATATTAGATGATGCTGTGAAGGATATACCTAATCCATTTCTTCATAGAGTGAATTTTTCTAAATTTGAAAAAATTAAGGTAAGTAGAATGCAATTCCTTTTATTTTGTTTATAGATACACAAAACAGTTTTGTTTGTTATAATTCTTTAATGTAATTAAAGTCTAGAATGATATTACTTTTAATCTGGATTTTTAATTGCATTAAAGCATTTTCAAACTATATTGCAAAAATTTGCAATATATTTTACAATTATATATATATATATTGTTACCATGAAAGACTGAAATTAGAGAGTGTCAATATACTCTGGAGAATGTTGACACATACCAAATATTAATATGTTGGTGAAAGTCCAAATACTTGGTTATATTATTATACATTTAAACTCATGACAGCATTTTTTAAATTGTTCATTCATCTTTGCTTTCTTTTCCCTTTTTCTTATGATTCACATCAACTATTACATCCCTGCAAAGGAATGTAATAGTTGATATGATTCTCAATGTAGACAGACATAAGAAGGAAGCCAAAGATGAATGAGAGGAATTTTAAAAAATCATCACAAATTTGCAATGGTAATTATTAGATTGTTTAATTTAAGAATTCAGGATTAACAGACTAAAATTTAAAACGACCTGAATAGCTGATGGGAAATGAGAGATTGGAATTGTCAAAAATGTTATACATGTACATTGAAGCTGGGGGCAAATTCTCTGGCTTGCTTAGCATGCGACACATGCTTAAGAGAAAGTTTTGACTGTCAATATATTTTTTATATGAGAACAAATATGCCAATAGTAATTTATTCTAACGTGTAAACTTGTTTATCATTTGTGTTTGCTTTTTCATTGACAGCTAGTGGCTAACCATTTTAAGTCAGTGCCATGCTTGCAGGAACTTGATCACTTGCTTGTATAGAGGTTTGCCACAGCAATCAAGTGCATTCGCATGATGACATTTGAAGCATTTAACACATCCAGATTGTATCAAAAGCTTGCGGTACCCAGTCAGTATACATGTATTATGTAGAGGGGCAGATCTATATAGAGATTAATAGGACTTAAGCCCTGGGCCCCCAGTGTCAAGGGCTCACAAAATCTGAATTATCATCATAAATTTTTAATACTTTCTCATTATAATATATTTCATATATTTCATTTGTAAATATAATAGGTTTTATAGTAGTCCATACTTTCTTATTCACACCAAATAGCATTTCTGTCTGTTGTTTAGTGCTAGAGATAGGTCTATTACAGTAGACCCCCCCTATAACACTGTTGATAATTCCATGTTATATGAATTCCATGTTGTACAAGTTACTTAAATTTCACAAATATGTGTGCCGGGCTGTGAACGGCTCGCATATTTGTAAAATCAACTGTATTCTTATTATAACTTTCATCATGCCCAAAAATTTTGGCCAGGATTCGCTCCTTATTGAAGCAATTTATATACAGTAGACTCCCTATAAAACGGGTTCATATAATGCGGATTCGTATATTGAGGCCAAAAAATTGCGACTGTATTCGTATAAAGACGCTAAAAGAGACTTGTAAAATGCGGTAAAACGTCATTGCCAACTCGTGTCGCGACAGGATTGGTCAAATCTAGACTAATAGCGGACATGCACAAACCATTGAGTTTAAACGAGCAGCAGACCTACTAAAAACCATTTATTATTTAACGGCCATAAAAAGTATATTTATATTAATGATGTCTCCAAAGTTCAGCAAATTTTTCGCAGAAAAATAATTTATCAGAAAACATTCACCTGTC